CCTTTTGGCCAAAGGTTTTTCTTTAGCCCCTTTCACTTCTACTGCTGTTACACATCCTCTTTTTGAACAGCTCTGGCCATCAATGAAACGCAGATTGTTTGCAACTGATGCTAATTGCGCCTTCCATTTACTAGATCGGCCAAACACTCTTCTACCTCTCCTGTTTTGGCTTTCCTTGTGTCCATTAGGAATCCTTCCTCACCAGCTCGCGCTAAACGTTCTATTCCTCCGTCTTCTTCTCCTTCTGCCAAGACCACCATAACCAAAGGCACCTCCAGCTGCAAACGGCCAGCTTCAGCATCTCCCATTTTACAAGATGATGATGATGATACTCCTCTCATCCTTAGGAGAAAGATAACTGAATTCGTTTATTCACAAACATAGTTCTCTATGTACTAATAGTTTACCTGAATTCCTCAAAAAAGTTCAGCCTCTCCTTCGAAGGCTCTGGTTTTGATAGCTCCTGCTTCATGGTCTTCTGCAGAGGCTGTTTCATCCAAATCAGCTGATGAAGGGATCATGCTCAAAGATAAACCCTTAGTTCTAGAATCTTCATTGCAACCAGTAGCAAGGCCACAGCCAGTAGAAAGGCCATCTACTTCCCAGGCCGTCGACCCCCCAAATGTTGAACCGGAAGGTAATACATATTTTAATATTTTACCTTTACTTGTGCTTCTTGTTTTTTATTTGTTGCTTTCTTGAATAATGCAGAGGCTCCCATGGAGCTACCCGTTGTGGCAGAGTCTTCCCGTTCAAATAAAGGAAAATCCCCACAAGTGGTAAAGTCAACTGGTGACATGCTTGAATCTCCCAGGATCGATGATACGGTAACCTTTTAACTCACTTTTATTTTTAATTTGCTCATCATAGTAAAGGTCTTCATTATTGGCCTCTTTCTTTGCAGGGTGCTGATGACATTGTGTGTTCCATCCAAGACTTGTTCACTTCCTAGAGATAAGTAAAGACACCTCGCCCTATTAATACGCGGGGCGTTCTGTCTATCATTCAGGACATTATCTCTTATAATTGAATTATCTCCGAGGTTGTTAATCTCATTACCACCATTCGTGTCTGGCATCCCACTACCCCCCTGGTTTGAAATAGATGGACCAAAGGGTGGTTCTCGTCCTTGATTTAAATTCAAACCAGAAGAATTATGTGGCGAATTATGTCTCACAATTGTCCCGGTTTGAAAGTGGTAGGCATAACTGGCTGACATATTTGACCTACTAACTTGTTCATTATCTCATTTAATGTATTCAATTGTTTGGCCATATTATCATAATATGCATTCCCACTTTGGGTAAATCTTTCCATATTATGAACATTTCGTAGATTTACCTGTTCAACGACATCCTGTGTGAGTTCGTCGAGCAATGCACGCATGGTNGGAGAAGAAGAAGATGGTTTGGATGGGTAGGTTGTTGTTTCGCGCGGGTAGTTGCTAACAATTAAAAGGAAATTCAGACGATTGTGTAAGGGACAAACCTCTAGAGACAAAGTCCCAAAAATGAGTGTTTTATTGATGAGAGTTACAACTGAAAATAAACAGAATGCCTCTAGGGGCGCAAGCACACGAGTACTGAAAAAAGGATAATTAAAGTTAATCTAAGAAATTGAAATTACATATTCTCTGTTTGAGAGTATTTGATTCGAGGTCCTTTTCTTTATGTCTATTCTTCTTTTTATATTCTCATGATGATTTCTTCGTGACAAATCGCTTGGGAACTGCTATCCATTTTCTTCATGGTGGCTAACTTGTTGTGGAATTGCCATATCTAACTGCTGCCATTACGTTTTGTTGTTCAACTGCCTTCAAATGGGCTCTTTAGATCGTGGAATGTGATAATCGGCTCGATAACTGTTTCAGTAACTGCTATTCTGGATGACCACAATATCTCATGTATTAAGATTCTGGGCGACTCGAAGGTTCGAGCGAAAACGAGGTTGTTGCTCTGAGCGACAGTAAGGCGCCCCATTCGCCCAAACTCTAGGCATCTTGCAGGCTTGGTCGATGATGTTACTGTGTTCGTGGGCTTCCTCTGCATTCACCAATAGCCTTATTTGAGCATTTATCCTGGATTCTCCAATTGGACTTCACTCTATAGGCTATTCAATTTGGGCTGTATTTTTGGTATGTCAACAGATCCAATTAGCATAAAACATTTATTTTAACAAAAGATATAATTCACCTTAATCTAATTTGGTGTCACAAACACAACCTTATAAAATGAAAAGAAAAAGAAGTTCAATAAAGAAAATTAAATAGAAAGAAAGACTATTACATTTTGTCATTTTAAAACGTGGGCCTGATCCTATATCTTGCCAATGGCCAAAGCCCATGGTAAGTAGGCCGTTAAATGCCGACATTAATCCAGAATAGTACCATGAATGCCTCCGTATATATAATTAGACCAACCCTAGCTTCTTGTTTCCTCTTTCTTTCGCTCTCTAGGGTTTCGACTCCAACCCTTTACTCAATCCCAGTCTTGCGATTAGCTTCCGATTCTCCAAATTCTAACATACTACTCTCGATTGGTGGAGAGTATTATCTGAATTCGGGTGACCATTTGGATAACGTTAGGTAGATGGGAACAGAGAGGAAGAGGAAGGTGAGCTTGTTCGACGTGGTTGACGAGGCAGCGGTCTCGGCAAAGAAGTCCAACGGTGCCTTGGCCGACACGGCGGTATCGACAATAAACAAATGGAATGGAAGGCCCTATTCGCAGAGATATTACGAGATTCTGGAGAAGAGGAAGACCCTCCCAGTGTGGCACCAGAAAGAGGAGTTCTTGCAGGCTCTCAAGGAAAATCAAGCTCTAATTCTAGTTGGTGAAACTGGTAGTGGTAAAACCACTCAGGTTAGCATCCAAAAATACTGTAATTTTGCCAATTCATTAGTTTTTGGTAATTTTATTTTATTTTATTGCTTAACCTACAAAAAAAATGGAAGTATTTATTTGCTTTCTGATAAGCTTCCCTCTCTTGAGTGAATTGCCCAAATAGCTACAATGAAGTAGGTCCTGAAGATTGAGTTTTAGACGGCTTTCACTATATAAGTTAACACCTTTTGAAGTTATTTTAGATTTTAAACGGTGCAAACTAGCAAATGTTCACCTAATCTGCTACTTTCTTTCCTCTGCTTACCGTTTCTGTCGACTTAAGCCTGTAAATGTCTGTGCCAAAGGTTTGCTTGTATTCATAATTGGGTTGCACCCATTGACCTGGTTTGGTCTTATATTTGGTTGCTGGCTCAGACTTCTCTTTATTGAGTTTAGATCTTAACTTTTTAGTTTCTTTTTCCACAGATTCCTCAGTTTGTTCTTGACGCAATAGAGATAGAGACCCCAGACAAGCGTAGGAAGTTCATGGTTGGATGCACCCAGCCTAGGAGGGTGGCTGCAATGTCTGTTTCGCGCCGAGTCGCCGAAGAAATGGATGTAACTATTGGAGAGGAAGTAGGTTATAGTATTCGGTTTGAGGACTGCAGCAGTGCTAGAACAGTTCTAAAGTAATATTTTTGTTCCATTGATGTAAATTTCTTGGTTTTACCGCTTTTTGGTTTTGTGTATTGCAAAATTTTCTGAAGTCAGGCCGTAATAGCTTCATGTATGTTTTCTTCTACTACAGGTACTTAACCGATGGTATGCTTTTGAGAGAAGCCATGACAGATCCGCTCTTGGAGAGATACAAAGTGATAATTCTTGATGAAGCTCACGAGAGAACTTTGGCAACAGATGTTTTGTTTGGGCTTCTGAAGGAAGTGTTGAAAAATAGGCCAGACCTGAAACTAGTTGTGATGAGTGCTACACTTGAGGCCGAAAAGTTTCAGGGTTACTTTAGTAGTGCACCACTCATGAAAGTCCCTGGAAGGCTTCACCCGGTGGAGATATTTTACACCCAGGATCCGGAAAGGGATTACCTGGAAGCAGCCATACGCACTGTTGTACAGATTCACATGTGTGAACCTCCTGGTGATATACTTGTCTTTCTTACTGGAGAAGAGGAGATTGAAGATGCATGTCGCAAGATAACGAAAGAAACAGGTAACATGGGAGACCAGGTGGGTCCTGTTAAAGTAGTTCCTCTGTACTCCACACTTCCTCCAGCTATGCAGCAGAAGATTTTTGAATCTGCTCCACCACCTGCAGTGGAGGGTGGTCCTGCCGGAAGGAAGATAGTTGTATCAACAAATATTGCGGAAACATCTTTAACCATTGATGGCATAGTATATGTTATTGATCCAGGGTTCGCAAAGCAAAAGGTTTATAACCCAAGAATTCGTGTTGAGTCTCTTTTGGTATCTCCTATATCAAAGGCAAGTGCTCACCAACGATCAGGACGTGCTGGAAGAACACAACCAGGAAAATGTTTCAGGCTATACACTGAAAAGAGTTTTCATAATGATCTCCAACCACAGACCTATCCAGAGATATTGCGGTCCAATCTTGCTAACACAGTCCTTACGTTGAAGAAACTGGGAATAGATGACCTGGTCCATTTTGATTTTATGGATCCACCTGCTCCAGAAACACTGATGAGAGCTTTGGAGGTCTTGAATTACCTTGGAGCTTTGGATGATGATGGGAACATGACCAAGTTGGGTGAAATTATGAGTGAACTTCCACTGGATCCTCAGATGGCAAAAATGCTTGTTGTTAGCCCTGAATTCAACTGTTCAAATGAAATCCTTTCTATATCTGCTATGCTTTCAGGTATCCACTCTTACTATTGCTTTCTTATTGTATCGGTTTGGGATGTTATCCCAGTTCTACATGTAAGTAGATTCTCTTTGGTTTAAGTATGTACTTCACTGGTTGTGAAGTTCACTCTTTTCTCACATGCATAGATATGCTTCTATGCACTGTGATGTCAGACATTCTACTGCATACATGAGTGCTAACTCATTCATGTATGTGGTGGTTGTGTGTGTCTGCTTAGGTTGTCATCAGCATCTAGTCTGGGTTTCATGCCTCCTGCGGGCATGTACCAAGGATTTCTAAGTAAATGCTGATGCAGATAGTTGCAGTTTCTCAGTATTCTCTCATCAAGCAAATGGTGTCTCGCCTCTATGCATCTGCTGACCTCTTCCGTGGGCCTCCTCTGTGATAACCAATTTTTTCTATAGTACCCAATTGCTTTGTCCGGCCTAGGGAGGCCCAAAAAGCTGCAGATGAAGCCAAAGCTCGGTTCGGTCACATTGATGGGGATCATCTTACACTCTTGAATGTGTATCATGCGTACAAACAAAATAGTAAGTTCCTGTAGTTGATCTCCTATGATCTTATATCCTATCTTTTCATCTTTTTTGTTGGTATTAATATTTGTTTTGAATTTCTATTATTTTCAGAGGAGGATCCACAATGGTGTTACGAGAACTTTGTCAATCATAGAGCATTGAAATCTGCAGATAATGTTAGACAGCAGCTAGCTCGCATTATGGCCAGGTTCAACCTCAAGCTATGCAGCACAGATTTCAACAGCCGTGATTACTACGTCAACATTAGAAAGGCTATGCTAGCTGGATATTTCATGCAGGTTGCCCATCTAGAGCGGACCGGGCACTATCTTACTGTGAAAGACAATCAAGTATGTAATTATAGAAAATGTGTTTTGTTGTAGTTGGAAGCTCGAAAACATGTTATGCAATGCTGAATAATGTGTGTTTTTTTTTTTTTTTTTGAATTTTTGTGTTTTTGCATGCAGGTTGTTCACTTGCATCCTTCAAATTGCTTGGACCATAAGCCAGAGTGGGTTATCTACAATGAATACGTCTTAACAAGCAGAAATTTCATCCGTACAGTAACTGATATTCGTGGTGAATGGTAAGTTCCTGTTCATGCCATTAGACTGTTTTTCTGCATATTTATGTGTTATTTTCTTAGTGTTCTTTTTTTTTTTTTTTTTGTCACCTCTTTGATTCTTGCTAACATGCACACGTCTAGCACATAAATTAAATAAACATTTTCATGTAGATCTTTCGTGTAGTAGAATCAAGAGAGACCTCAAAGAGTTTTTTTATTTACTTTGTGAAAATTTATTTCCAGATGCTTGCACGTTGCGTCACAACATTCGAATTGTCTCCGTCGATCCTAGCATCATTTTTAGGATAAAGAGGGTTCCTTTTCTTTTATTTGGGGGTTTGGGATGCCTAGGTTTGTGTTCTACCAGGGAGAGAAAACCGTCTTTCCATTGCAAGAAGCTTTCTCACAACATGTTTATACGTACAACTTCGTAAATATATCTTCGAGGTAGAAATTCCAATTAAAAGTGAACTAGTGGTTTTTTTTTTTTTTTGGCTGTTCAAGTTGTCACTTTTTTTTTTGTTCAATTTCGCACCCTAATTTAGGGAAACTGTTGACTCCATGGATCTTGTGATGATACTTTTTTTCCCGAACACAGTTGGGTGTAGGGCAACTGTTGGTCTGGTGGTTGAGGTATTTGTGGGTGGTTATTGGTGTGAATCTCAATGGGAGGAGTTGGTGGACTTGGTGTGTCTGCCAACTGCCATGAAGTGCGCAATGGAACAAAAAGAAGATGCTCTAAAAAAATTTTGTTATTTGCAATTATTTTTTGTCAGTTCTTCATGGCGAAGATAAAGGTTTCTAAGTTCAATTGAGAATAATCGACTGGTACTTTAGTTGAAAAGAGACTCTTGAAGTTTGATCTATGTAATTACATATTTTGTGGATATTTTTACAGCTTTAAGAATTCTTAGTTGGATTTTATTTAGTTATTTTTGCCGTCCTTTTAAATTTATCTGCAGGTTGATTGACATAGCCCCTCATTACTATGATTTGACAAACTTCCCCAACTGTGAAGCAAAGCGGCAACTTGAGAAGCTGTATAAGAAACGGGAGAATGTGAGGGAGAGCAAGAATAAAAAGTGAAGAGATACACACAGTTCTTCCTGAAGATACTCGTTAGAGCATCTAAGACTTCAAATGTCTACAGTTTGTGGGGTAGTCAACATATATTGTACGTGAGTTTTAGCACAGTGATTTCAGTTTGTATGGGTACTTCTAAATTAGTTGTTTCCCTTGCTGCAAGTGGGGTTTCTATTCTATAAATTAATTACTTTTGGCAACTGAAGTAATACACTTGCGCATCTCTCTGCTTCTCTGTTTGTGTGAGCATGTGATAGTGCATTCGTGACCCTGTGAATGGTGGTTGTGCTGTCTTGTGTGCAAGGGTGACCGAAGCCAATCTGGATGCTTTTTATTCTAGAGATGATGACAATATTCATGATGTGATTATTTCTTTTGTGCCTAGTGTCCTGGGTTCAAATTTGCATTCCCATGTTTTGGCCAAAATTTTCACCCAGTGATGGCATTGAGTTGTAATGAATGCACTATTGATAATTGTATGATGCAGCAATGGACGCACAAAAACAATGGACACAGAGCACAATAGCGATCTTTTACTTCAAGACAAACTAATAATCAACCAGTCATCTTATCGCTTTCAGATGGAGATTATTGCTCTTACAAACGAATATTCAGAATGGGTTATTTAGATGTGCTCCTCTTGAAACTCTTTCCATGTAGGATCATCTGTGCGATGGAATACACGGGGATACTATTGGGATTCTTATAGCAAGGAACTTTAAGAAGCATAAAATCATAGTCAAGACACAGAGGAGCATATGCATTCCCCATTTCTCGCATTAGGCTACTGATCATATCTTACGATCCCTCCATGAGATCAAACAATTTCAAGAAAAGAGCAAATGTAAAAGATTCAAACATAATTTTTCCATAATCCATTGAAATATCAAAGGACAAACAAATACAAATGCTGAGATTCCTGATCACAGCCAAAGAAATTGTCTTAAATTATTTACATTTGAAAAAGCTTACAGAAGGAATGTCAACTAGGCTGCTAAACTCAAGTTCAATACATCCTTCGTAAAAAAACTTTCTGAAAATATTTTCACTATGGGAACAGAACCATCAGACGAGCAACTCGTTAATCCTGTTAAGAATTGCATATTGCTGGCCACTTGACTTCGATTCCTCCAGGAAGCAAGCAAAGACAAGACAAGCGCTCCCTCATACTCCCTAGAGACGTGTAAGTTAGGAAAAATTGTGTTGCATCATAACTCAACAATACATGAACTTCTTAAGTGAAATAGGAATCCTCCATACCTGTGTAATAAATGCACGAGTAAGGCATTGAACAAAAATTTCTATACGATCAATCTGATGCCTTGTACTTTCGGGGTCTTTTGGACTGAGCTGGAGATGAAGGAGCTTCTGATCTTCCAGGTCCCTTCAGAACCAATTTTACGGTAAATGCATTTTTAGTAGACTTGCCAATGCATAATTAGTAGAATTGTCAAAAAATTTTGGAAGAGATGAAAAAATAAATAACAAACATAACCGATAAAGGAGTATACCTTACGCTTCAGGTCCCTTTTACCAACTCTTTCCCCTAAAATCAAATCACACGTCAAATCCATGCTAAAAAGCAGTGCCGTGAAGAATGAATGGTAAAATACAGAGAAAGAAAAGTAAGAACAGCAGAAGACATCATTAAATGCCACTAGCACTTATTATTACCTCCAAAACTCGATGAATCAGGAGTAAATGTTCGATCAAGATCTGCAGCACGCTGCAGACGCTGTTAAAGAAAAGGTCGGGCAGTTATAATCTTATGAAAAGAAATTTTGTTATACAGTGATTAATGATTAATGGGGGAAATAAAACACATGTCACCAACCTTAGGTGGTGGTGTACCAGGAGTTTCAGCATATGAACCTTCGCGATATGATGAACCTTCTGCCTCCTTGTATTGCAACTGATAATCCAAAAAGAGTAACGTGCAGGACGAAATATATATCAAATTGGAATAAGTCAGGCTGCAAATTTTAATTGGAAGTTGGAAACATGATATTGAGACTTTTTCCCCATCTTGACGAAGCAAAATCTTGCATCCCGAGTCACTTAATAGCAAGGAAATTGAAACTATTTTGAATGTGAACTAAAACGCTGAAAATCTAATGAAGTGACATGTTTTATACCAAAATTCGTCTAGATCTATTTAACCCTGGTCTATTGTACAAACATGAGTTATTTCAATTTGGTTTCTGTCGATCAAGTACTGAACCCAGACCGTGTAAAGGTGAGTATCCATGAGAGGAACTATAACCATCTATTTTGACAAGCTCAGGTGAGACGCAACTCCAGTTAGCTTATTCATAAAAGAGAAGAAAATAAAAGTGAAAAAAAAGGATATAATCAACCCATTCTTATATAAAATCAACTTGAATCTTGTTTGCTGGAATCTACCAAAAATTGGACAACTAAATTTGGACTAAGATCAGCCAGCATATACTTCCTTAATCAACAAACTAAAAGTTAAAACCTAGTACAACAACAAACAGAAATACAACTGGAAGGAAAACATAAAACACTACAAGGCAGGACAGTTAATCAAGTCAGCATACAGGAATAATGATGTTCAAGTCTAACAAAAATTTGAAATAGACGAAAGAATAAAGGTCAATGCTGTTATAACGACTCAATGAGGTAGATTTTCTGATCAATAACAAAAGAATTACAAGGAATTTGGAATGCAATTTATGAAGAAGAAAAAGATAATAATTGAGAACACTCGGGAAGAATTACCTGTTTCTGAAGACTCAAGAGAGTCAATATTTCTTTTCTTAGTTCAAGATGCTCTGTACATACAGCCCTGGTGGGAACCTTTGGTTTCAAATTCACCTGAAAAATGGGTGCACAGGTTTTTCATCCATCCAGAGGAAACAAACGTATTAGAGGTATATAAAAATCACTAGGCACGATAATTTCCTCCTAAAGAAGTCCAAAATTTTGAAAGGTCAATTCCCTCAGTCATGGATGTCACTTGCCCAAGCTTTAAGCAAGACAAAAACAAAATAAGAGATTCAAAAGGTACAGTTATTGGTCAGATAAACTAGACTTAAAGCATGTCTGGAAGAGCTTATAAAGAGCTTTTAAGCACTCCCAAACATGCTCTTGGTTCCAATGTTAAAAAATAATAACCATGAAAGCTGACAAAGTCTTTGACTGGAGACAATATTTCAACGGATATGCTTAATAATGTACAGGAACAGGAAACCCATTAAAAAAAAAATTTCTGATATTTTCCTCTTCAACACGTTTATGTACAAGCCTATGAGCACGAGCTTTCTAGATCGTAAAACAAAATTACTCCCTATCACCAATATAACATCAATTATCGGGACAAAGTGAACAATAACCACTTTTAATAGTCTAAGCAGTAGATACAAACACTAAATCTCCCTGATATTTTTCTCTTTAACAATTTCCGATATAAGCACATCAGCACAAACTTCATGATCAGCGCTTTCTAGATTGTAAAAGAAAATTGTTCCCTATCACCTATATAACATCAATTATCAGGACAAAGTGAACAAAAACCACTTTCAATAGTGTAAGGAGTAGATACATACCCCGAGATCTTGTAAAGTCTGCTCAACCCTTTTGATAGTCCGAAGTCCTGCTGATGAACTTGCAGCTTGCACCATTTGCTCGTGTGCGTAAGATCTCAAGTACACTTGCAGCTGCATAATTCGTTGATAAGTAACAGAAAAGGCCAAAGTCATAGTCCAAGAATAGCACAAAGGACCAAAATGAGGACAAGAGAAAAAGATGTTACATATAAGCATGCATGCATGCACAAGCAGTTCATAATAGGGTTTTATCTCTTTTTCTTCTTTCTTGTTTAGGATAAGATTTCTTCTCTCTTTTTAGATTATATGATTATTTCCTTTTTAGGATTTTAGTTCTTTCAGTAGGACATATACATAAAAACATACAAGATACTCATGTTGTAGTCAAGAAAGAAAGAAAAATTCCTATTCTAGTCAAGAAAGAAAAAGAAGTATTCTAAAGAAGAAAGAAGAGAGAGAAACAAGAAATCCTATTTGGAACAGGATTGTCCTGCATCAAGGAATACCAATGAACAAACATGGCAAATGAACAGAAAGAAGCATAAGCTTGTTCGTAAATTTGTTAAAGTAGTGAAACCAAAATAAACAAGAGGATAAACGTAAGGAAGTTTAAGATGGATATAACACAATAAATCTGATTTCTGGCATACCATGCGAAGAGAAGCTACAACTGAAGCAGTTTCAGAGACTGGATTGGCTATAGTAGCAGAAGGAAACTGTGTGCTTTGAGAAGGAGAGACAGAATCGCCAGCAACAGCAGCCTTATCAGTAACATCATGGCCAGCGTCTGCCATGACTGGAAGCTCAGGCTCTTCTGCAGCCTGAAGAAGAAAATTTACGTTATCGCAAATACATGTGTACAAATAACAAAGAAATGATGGTGAGTGCAGACTTAACACAATTATGTAGTATTCAATAAAACAGCTTCATCATCAAAATAAGCCTATCTTATAAAACACTACACTTTATAATGATGCTCATTAAAAGGCAAGAGTGCGCCGTCAGCTAAATAAGCCTATATTTCACATAAACGCAATGTGTTACAATACCATCTTCACAATATTCAAGTGTCATTCTTTGACACATCTTTGACAGACAGACAGGGAAGTGGGATTTCTTTATTTCTTTTCTTTTTCCCTTTTTTCAGTGGGGGAGGAGGGGAGAAGCTGACCTTCGCAGCCTTCCGGGCCTCAGATATTCTTTTCGCCTCAGCAAGAACCTAAAAACAGAAAAAGCTGAGAGTCACATATACATGTAATGAAAAACAAATATGTTCTTCCCCTATCATCTGTTTAGGTCACTAGGGAGATATGGAATCAGATTTCAAACCTCAACATCTTTGCGCTCCTGCTGCTTCGTGTGAGAGAGCACCATTGACAATGCACGTTTTCGTTCAATTTCTTGAGAAGGGTTATAAGGTTCCTGGATTATTTG